AATTAATTTAATGATATTAATATTTTAATATGAATTAATAATTAAATATTATATTTATTACAGCTTAATTTGTATATTTTTTTGTGTTTACTTTTAGAATAATAACAGAAAAGATAAAAATTTAGATTAAAATTTGAGATTAATGATGTAGTTTATATTATATCATTAAATTAATTTATGCATATAATATTATAATCATAAAAAAAACAAAAGAGTTAATCAATATAAAATCTATTTTTTAATATTTTAAATATTAAAAAACATGATTTATACTACATCAATTTTAAATTTTATTTTAATTTATCATTATTCTTATATTTAATAAAAAAAATATTTTACAATACTATTTAGAATAATTTAAATTATAAAATAATACATTTTATTTTTAATACTACTATTTAATAATTACTTTTAAAATACTACACGTCATCATCAAATAAGATGCTCTTTATTCTCAATTGAAATTGGGAATGTTGCGTGTAATGAGAATTCGAACTGATGCGTGTAACGTAACGGCTGCGGTGGCGACGATTCGATTCGGTTTTGGTTATAGTAAAAATTAAATTATTAATTAATTTAATTTTTAATTATTATTTAAATAAAATTACTTAAATAAATAATTATATATTTATTATGTTTTATTAATTTATATTAAAATTAAAAAATTAATTTTAATTTTATTAACTATTTAATTAAATATTACATATAATATTAATATTAAAAATAAAATTTATTTTTATAATTTCAAATAAGTTTATAATAAAAAATATAATAAATACATCTTTTAAAAATAGTTAATAAAAAGTGATAAATACTCATTTTAATTATCAATTTTTTAATTTTTAAACTTAACTGATAAAAACTCAAACGATATTAATTTGATTTTTTTTTCACAAAAAGGGTTAAAATCTATTATAGTCCCCATACTCTAAATTTTCATTCGTTATCATCCTTAGACTTACAAATCGTTCAAAATCCTTCTAATTTTGAAAACCAGACTATTATCTTTCCTCCCCGCCAAAAAAAAAAAAAAAAGTATCACATTTTCGTCCTTAGCTTAACACCGTTACTAACATGTCACTAACGATGGTTTGTTGACAGTCAAGTTAGCAATTTTCCACTAAAAATTAGTGTTTATTACAAAAGTTTTTGTAGACCCCACTCACTATGTTTTGCTTTAATTTTTATTGGACCCACATTGGCTTATGTGGATTTAATTTTTGCTTTAATAATTTACTAATTGATCATATCCCGCGCAATGCTCAGTCGGTGAAATGCTACATATATATATAATTTAAAATTTTAATATAAAATTAATATAATAATTAAAAAATTAATAAAATTGGATTACCATAACAAAGATATGTGCATAATAATTTAAAAAATTAAAATTCAAAATGTACTATGGTTATGTGCATCAAAATGAGTATTAAGGTGACAAATGTATTCTTTAATTAAATAATAAATTGTTTCAAAAATTCAAGCATGTCATTAATTAAATGAAATTTATTAATTTGAGTTCATATTTTTTCAAAGTAATGAAAAAGTCCTTTAAATGGTGAGTTTATTGATTAACATAGTGTATACCATAATTTGTAGGTTTAGTTTGTTTGTTTTACACGAATTTAAATTAATTCAAATTATGCAAATAAAGAGTGAGAAAATAAAATTTAAAATACCTCAAAATTCCACTGGAGCCTTTCTTCGGGAATGCTTTCGCTCACCACCTAGAACAACAATAAGGCAGCAAATCCAATTAGTGAATTGTTGATCCGAGTAAAAAAATTTGATTTTTTTTAAATAAGATTTTAAACTCAAATTTTGTAAATAGAGAAACAGAGTAAATAAAGAAACATGTGTTAAGAGAGCTTCTCCCTTCTCTTCTAATGAGGTCTAACCTAACTCAATTTCAAATTAGTCGAATCGAACGTGATTATTAAATACTAAGAAGTAAAAAAAAAAAATAACAAATTCATCAAAAATAATCATAGAAGTAGAAACAGGTGTTTAAAACTCACTAATATTATCAAACTCAGCAATTATAGGATCCTCAATCAAAATTCGAAACCTAGATATCAAATACAAAAACCCACCTTCGAATTCAATTTGGTTACCATGTGGATTGGAAAATGCAGAAAATCTAAAACTGTATGGCTTCTGGTAATCGCTGTATTGCAAATCAGGAAGAATTGATAAAGTGGAAAAAAGAGAAAATAGTGGGGTTTAATAGCTTCCAGATTTGACATTTTTATTCGAATTTTATTTATTTATTTATTCAACTTTTTTTTTTTTTTTTTTTTTTTTTTTTTTGCTCTGCTCCATGTGTATGGGTTGGGGTTGGGATAGTGTCTGGATTTCTAGGGGTTTCAAAGGAGATGAGTTTTGAAATTTGGTTAAAAGTTCGAAGAAATATGGGGGAAACCCAAATTACTGATATGCACATAGGGAAGCTTAAAATCGAACGAGCAAGAAAATTGGGATTGGCCAGAGGTGCTGCATGCTGTTATATATTCATGGTTTGGAACTTGCTTGCGAGCTTAGATTCTCAAACTTGGTAATGGAGACTGATTCACTGATCATAGTAGTTCGGCCAATTGCAAATTCTCAACCAACTCTATGTGTTGTTGTTCCTTTGTTTGAGAATATTCAACAGATTGTATCGGGGCTTTGTCTTGTCCCTTTTCTGCATGTTGAAAGAGATTGTAATAAGTTAGCCCATGAATTAGCAAGAGGTGCAATGCAGCTTTCTGACCCACGCAAACTTTCTGTAGATGGCCTTGAACCTTCTGAACAATCAATAATTGCTGCTGATGCATTTTGAATTTCTATGTTTATTCTGCCAATGACAATGAGAGCAGCAAATTTAATAGGTATTGGAGACTTTAGGTGTATGTGATAATTAAATGCAAAAAGTAAGATTGTAATGTGAAAATGGGAATTTGAATTGGTTTTAATCCAATTTAAGGTTTTTAAAGTATAATTTATCTAGTTAATAATATGAGTATATAATGTGAATAGGTAATGTAAATACAAAGTGATTTTTTAAATTTTAGTTTAATATATCTTTAGATTTTATGAACAATTTAATGAGACTCACCTAAGATAAATCTTTTTTTACAAGTAAAAGCTAAATAATGCACAAACTTAGTACCACAAATTAAAAGACGATAAAAGCCTTTTTCTTAGCATTTTTTTTCTCTACATATAAATTATAAGATAATTCGGCAAGGTTTTCGAGCACCTGGTGTGTATATCTAAACGAAGCTCTAAACTTGTACCAAAAAAAAAAAAAAAAACCTCTAATCTTCCATGCCTTGTCACCTCAAAACCCAAAAATTTTCTCATATCTCCCACCAGCTCAATGGACTAAATCTAGCAATAAATTTAATCAATAAGAATTCAAGACTAGTAAAAGGTTTTAGAATTGTTATCTTGAGTTGGAAACAAGCCCAGGTTCTTGCGCCTATATAGTCTTGCATCAAAATGCTCTGTCCATCCGTCCTTTCCCGTCCCTGCTTCCATAGCCACGACCCAAGTACCCAAATGCAGTATATAACCCTTCATCAAGCTATTTTCCTCCATACCACAGCTCTCTCCCACCTCTGCCTCTTATATTTCAATTTCACTGGCAAGTCTTCAAAGTTCAAACATTCTGATGGATGATTACACCACTCATATTCTCATTTCTCACAAAAAGAGGAGCATGCCCCTTTAGCTTTAGCTTTGCAGTGAACCAAATCCATGCTCGTAATTGAATAAGCAAGGTCATATTGGACAATAACAATCATGAGGTAAAGAGGGGAATTAGCAAAAGTGGGAAATATATTAGGGATGATGTGGCAATGAGTAGGGCACACAAAAATTTCGTAATAAAAAATAATAATTTAACGAAAAAGTTGCAAACGTAACTGTCAAAAATGCCACCGTTAGTGAGATGTTAGTAACGGTGTTAGAGTAAGGACGACAATGTGATGCTTTCTTGTAGCAGACGGAGGACAATAACATGACTGTCAAGAGTAGAAGGATGACTTTGAATGATTTGTAAGTACAAGGATGATAATGAACTAAAATTCAAAGTACAGGGACTACAACTAGCCTTAACCCTAAAAAATCCTTAAAACCAATTCAGAAATTTTCAAGTTGCCAATTTTTCCACCCACGGCACTTTTTGCAAAATCAAAGATTTTCAAATCCCTACCACCTATTTCCCCCAAGCAAATAGGAATAGTGTACTAATAATACGTTAATTTGAGTTGAAGGAACTCGGTTGTTCTTAAATAAAATTTTAAATTTGAGTTTTGTGAATTGAAAAATAGTAAGATTTTGAATTCGAGTTTTGTGAATGGAAAAATAAGAGTTAAGAGAGCTTCTGTCCTAATGGAATTTAACATGGTTCGATTCTAAATTAGTCGGATCCAATATGATTACCAAATATCAAAAAATTAAAATCAAAAAAATAAGAATAGCGTCAGTGCAAGTTAGAATTAATTTGATAACGCCTGTTTTATAATTATAATTGTAAATTTGTTAATTATTTAATATTTTAAAATTATATTTAATATTTATT